TTTTTTGCGGAACCGGGGATTGAACTCATGTCCTTGCACTTGCCAGCCAAGTGCTTATTCTACTGAGCCATCTCCCCGGCCCGAGAAAATATTTCTAAGTAAAATTAATACTGTTATCAGCCAGGAAGATAGCTCAATGGCATAAGCACCTTCCTGGTAAGCACAAGGTCCTGACTTTGATCCCCAGTACCAAAAATAAATAAAAGTAATAATAATGCTATGTCAACCTTTCTACTTTATCTGCCCGTACACAAAAAGGATAAAAAGAGAATAATCTGATTCTGAGAGTAATAACAACATGTTTGGTTAGACATTGCAGTTTTTCCTTTTTTTTTGAACTGTATATTGAACTCAGGCCCTTGTGCTTGCCAGGGAAGCGCTTATTCTACTGAGCCATCTCCCCAGCTCTAGACTTTATAGTTTCTAGGACTTTTTGCCTGCTGGTTTTTAGGTTTATAACTCCAAAAGTTACAATTATCATCCTTGTTTTATTAATGGACTAAGATAGCCCCATAGAATTTATTTCTCAGCCTAATACATCTAGTAAATCAATAAAGCAACCTAAACTCAGTGTTTAAGTAGTGCTTTGGCAAGCACAGAGACCAGAGTTTAATCCCCAGTCCCACCTGCTGTGCCAGTCCTGCCCCCCCCCCCAGAGAGGGGCACTCTGAGCTGGCAACTTGAGTCCAGGCGTGGTGGTACATGCCTGTAATCCCAATGCTGAGGAGGCTGAAAACAGGAGAATCACTACGAGTACAAGATGCATAGTGAGACTCTGTACCTATTACATAAATAGAAAAAAAAGTTAAACCAGTGTTTATCCTCTACTAACTTCACTTCTCTCAACACAGAGCTGCCCTTAAATTTAATATTTTCACTTTCATTTCCCTTTTCTTTACATAATCTGATTTTTTTTTTAATATTTATTTATTTATTTTGTGTGTGTGTGGCCAGCTCAGCCCACCAGGGGGAGGGGCTGGCTGGCATGTGGTGCTGGGGGATTGAACCGTGGTCCCTGTGCTTTGCTTAGTTTAGCTTGTTCTAAGTAGGTGATTTAGACCACTGAGCCATCTTACCAGCCCTACATAATCTGATTTTAATTACGTCTAAGATTAGCTTATCCTAATTGTTAGATTTTTATTACTTTAACAAAGTCAGGAGAAATGACTTATTTTAGCATTACTAATTTTTTAAAAGAGAATACAAAATGGTACAGGAAAAAAAACCAGTAGAAATAATACAGAGTTTCAGTAAACAAAATAACAGGAATTGGACAATGGTTGTTGTATTATATAATGTTATCTTCAAATTAGTTGTTTAGGCCTGGGAGATGGCTCAGTGGAATAAGCGCTTCCCTGGCAAGCACAAGGGCCTGAGTTCAATCCCTGATTCTGCCAAGAAACAAAACACAAAAGCAGCCAGGTTCAGGATGCTGTGGTTGATCTCCTGATCCTCAAGCCTTGCCAGACCTGCCCTGAAGGCATCCTGAACCAGGAAAAAAAAACAAAAAAACAAAAAAAACAAATTAGTTGTTTAGATTATCAGAGATAAGCATGCAAAATTGATTTTTAAAAAGTTATAAGAAATTGAAAAGAAGAAAAAAAAGTTTAAACATTAACTGCACCTTTCAGTAGACCAGCAGAAGCCAGCAGCAATTATCCAAGCTATTCTGCATATATACATAAATTTATCTTTTTCCCATCTTTTGCCTTTTTTCCTCATCCCAGTTAGTATTATTAATTTTAAAAAAAAAAATGTAGAAGGCAAGTCATCCTTAAAGTGTCCCTTTTTTTATGCTGAGTAGTTTAAAACAAATTACAAGGCCAGATATGGTAGCACATGCCTAATCGCAGTGCTTAGCAGGCTGAAGCAGGAGGATTGCTTAAAATTGGAGGACATTCTGGGATACAAAGAGAATTTAAGGCCCGCTTGATCTGCATAGTGAAACCCTGTTTCAAAAAGACACACACACAACAATACCTTAACAGTGTAAATTAGGTACCATAACAGTCTAATATCAGAATAATAAAGTTAGTAATAATCTATTAATATACAGTAACCTTCATATTCACATTTTTCTTAAAACCCTTTTACAATTGATTTGTTCAATCCAGAATTCATTCCAGGACCATACGTCAGCTTTTAACTCCTCTATTCTCCTTTAATCTGGAGCAGTCCTTTTTTCTTTTCTTGAAGACGTTGACTTGCTGAAGAGATCATGAACTGGCTATGGTGGTAGCCTTTTCTGGCACTAGTTTGGAAGAAAACTGTCTTAAACTGTTTATGCTATTACAATCTTTTCACCTCAGGTTTTTTTTGTGGTACCAGGGATTGAACTCAGGACCCTGTGCTATCTCCCTGGCCCTTTACAATCTTTTCAGATCAAAAGTTATAATACAATCTGGTCATACGTTTGTGTGTTATTGGTGAACTAGCGAATTTTAGAATTTGTCTTAGGAACAGAATTACTCTAATTTTTTTTTTTTTTTTTAACAAGGAGAATACCAGACATACTTTATTAGCACAAACAGGCATAACAAAGCACAGCAAGCAGAAACATACATTAGCTATCAAAGGGTTATAGTTGATGAAAACATAGCTTTCTTTTTGTAGAGTTGACTGATAGCCATTGGTATATGAGATGACCTTGTGTAGCAGCTGGCAAGGATACTAAAGTGCACTCACCAGTGGTACAGAGCACATTAGGAAAAGGACACAAAGGGATTTGGCTACTATAGTGTAAAATGTCTAGGATAGAACTAGAAATTTGGTTCAATACTAAGCAAATGCCAGAAGTTGATACTTCTCAAAACACTCAAGTTGTATGAAATATGATTCTAAGAGATTAAGATGTGTTAAGTAAAGTTATTTACAGATACAACGTTGGACAGTACCTAAACCTATAGTTTAGGTTTCAAGTTTTTTCATTAAAAATTACACTGAGTCAGTTGAGGTAGGAGGATTGCTGGGAGTTTGAGGTCAGTGTAGGCAACATAGTGAGTTCAAGGCCAGTCTGAACTACAAAGTGAAACCCTGTCTCAACAAAACAAAATAAATGAATGAATAAATGAAAAATTAAATAAATGCACTGAAATTTTAAAAATACAATTCAGCTATGAGAGTTGGCACAACATAAATACTGCCATCTAAGTTATGCATCATTGTTTACCAACAATCTCTTCACCAACCACTGTAGTTGCAATTACCTATCTTGTTTGGGCATCTTGTAGTCTCATTTTCTTCATGATTCACAAACTCATGGACATGGGTACTAATCTAACTTTAATTAAACAATGTTAGTATGTCCATTTTTAAAAGTTACAGTTGGGATTATAATGACATCAGCTGTTTCAAGCCATTTTATAAAGTATTCTTTTAAAAAGTTAATACCTAGGGCCTTTAAATAAAATTCTACTACTACTAATTTGATAAGTCTGGAATTTAAGAATGACCACCTAGAAAATCTGATTTACTCCAAACTACATTTGCAGAAGAGAAAAGGAGACTGGCTAAGCTATAGCAACACTTAATAACCTGCATTATACTGTTTGCTCAGAGTTATTCTTTTCCTTCCCCCCTCCGAAAAAAAAAGGAAGTCAGTCTTTTGTCTGTTTATTTATTTGACTTGCAAAGCTTAATTTATAGTAACTAGAGACACAGCTACTTTTGGAAGGTTATGGAAAAAATAATTTCAAATATCACTCTGTTGAAATAATCTTCTGATACTAATAATTTGTTCTTTAGTAAGGAGTAGAATTCTAGGTCGGGGAGATATAGCTCAGTGGCGTAAACACCTGTCTGGCAAGCACAAAGTCCTGAGTTCAATCCTGGGTACCAAAAAAACCAAAGAGATAAAATTCATAGCAAATACACTGAATTCCTCTTAACACAGGGACAGAAACAGAATTTTTTTTTTTTTTTTAATGTCTTGAAAGATTAACTCAGTGTGCTTTTGCTAAAAATCACTTTACATGTACGGAAAAAGTACTCATGTTTAAAACAAAAGTTGCTAACAAAAGGAGTAACAAAAGAGTAACAGTAATAACTCTTGATGTGTTGACCATCCCTGAGGTAGATGTATAACTCATGTATAACTCGCTGTTTCAGAGATGCATCTGCTGACCTTAGCCCCTACTGCTTAGTCAGATTTTCCAAGGACTTTGACCTCAGAGGACTGTGACTAGGGTATGCTCATTTTTACCTCAGCTAAGAAGGACAGTTACAGTCAGTCCAGACAAAAGGCATCCCAGCTATTGCTCCTGACTTGTGAGAAAAAGTTAATGTCCATTGGTCCCATGCTGAATTTGTACTGTATTCTACACATGCAGGTGCAACCTTGCCTGGGCTAGAACTCCTTGTGCTCTGGCAGCCACACTTCTGTTCCCAACAGGAAAGGGACAAATGCAAGTCCCACTGTGGGCTGCTAGATTCTTAGCTCTCCTAGATTTGTTTAACCTTTCTATCTTGCCTCCTCACTGTTTTTCCAAGCATCTTTTTCTAGCTTCTTTTTGTTAACTTAAAAAGCCTCACCCTAATAGTGAGCACTTAGTATTGCAGAGAGCAGAAACACAAGCTTCCATCCAGAAAGAGGACTCTGAACAGACTGAGACATTGGCTCTTCTTAAACCCCTGCTATCAGCAGATCCTGTTGATGTTCTATACTGCATGGCGGGAGGGGGCAAGGGATTCAACTCTTGTCTGTCTGGCCTAAAAAGACTTTTCTTTTATTAAGATCTACAACACTTGAAAAAGAAGTTCCAGTCATATTTATCCACCCTTTACACACTGGATTATTCCGGATAAAAATTCAAGGAGCCACTGGAAAATTTAATATGGTCATCCCTCTTGTAGATGGGATGATAGTCAGCCGGCGAGCACTTGGTAAGCTCCTTATGTGTGCAGAGAGCTAAGTTTTCTCTCCTTCTTTAGCATATATATATATATATATATATATATATATATCCAGAAGAAAGAAAATTTTCAATAATACTACTTATAAAAAATGCTGTGGCCTTCGTTGACACAACATTTTTGGTCTGTTTTAAACTATCTTTAAGTACTGTACAAGTGAAACTTCACAAACTAGTAGGAAGGTAGTTCGTTATAATTCAGGGCAAGAAATAAATTGTCAAGCCAGATTTTGATTCTGTTTTTCCTTGTCTTTGTGTCTTTTTTCTGACAGTTTTTTCTTAGTGGTATGTCTGTCTCTCTGGGAAGGGAAAGTTATACAAATGGAATATAATAATATTAGTATGAAAAACAGTTCATCTGAACATTCATCCAGTGATCATTGACAGTTATTTTAACTCTTGTTTTCAAGGCTTTCTGGTGAGGCAGACTGTAATAAACATTTGTAGAAGAAAGAGACTGGAGAGCGACTCCTACAGTCCACCACATGTCCGTCGGAAACAGAAAATAACTGACATTGTCAACAAATACCGGAACAAGCAGTTGGAGCCAGAATTTTATACTTCACTTTTCCAGGAGGCTGGACTCAAGAGCTGCAGTTCTTAGACCACTGTCTAGAACAGTTGAACTCCACAGTGTGGTCTGTAATAGCAAAGCAAGACAGTTTGACAGGTGATCACTGTAAAAATAAAAACAAATCACTCCTGAAGAGCTTATTGTTTAATCACCAAAAGAGAAAAATATGTTGTAAACCCACTGGATAGACAGAGGACTGTCAGCTTTCTAGTAAAATGGGCTCCCAGATACAATCATACTCCTGCTGGTGATGGTGATAAACATTTTAGCCATAAACTTTTCAAATGAGTTTTAGTTCAATATAAGCCTTATGAGGAGAAAGGCTATTATGCATCTCAGTCAAACACATATGCTGGCAGTATCAACAGATTTGCAAATTAGCAGTTGAAGATAGTTTGATGCCTCACTGTTTTAGGAGGTGGTATTGAAAATTAAAATCTATCTCAGAATCTTCCAGGATATCTTTAAGGCTCAGTGATAGCACGGAGGAAAGGGAAAGAGGTCCCAGCCTTCTGCTCACTTGGGGGTCCATTTGTTATCCAGCTATTAAGCTGAGAACAAGAAAAGAACAGAATTTTCTTTTTGCTCAGATAAGTCTGACAAAATATTTCACATTTTCTTTCCATATTTAGAAAGTTGTCATTATCATCACTGTACAGATCTGTTTGAAGGCCTGATTATGAGCACAGATCTAAAGTAGAGATAGTGTTACCCTGTGATGGGGTTACTAAAGTTTGTCGGGTTAAAAGCTATAAGACAACAGTGATGCTCCATTCGAGGGATTTGGTTTCATCCATTATCTCTTATTTCAGGACCAAGCAGCAAACTGCAATAGTTGATGAAGGATTGTATTTGGGTTCAGGAAGTAACCTTTCGGTGCCACAGATGCAACTCTCTCCCAGAGAACCCCTGGATTGCATCATAATTGACAGACATTAGTCACCACCTTATTGGATGGCTGCTGTTTAAAATGGCTGCTGTTGTTATGCTTTTTGGACTTTGCTAGTTGAAGGCACAACAAATCCCTGCCAAGGTTTTAGAAGTACTTTTTTTTTTTTTTTCTCATATATTTGGTACAGGGTCTCACTACGCAGCTCAGACTCATAGTGATCTTCCTGTTTTCAGCCTCCTCAGCACTGGGATTACACACGTGAGCCACCACACCCAGACTCGGTGGCCAGCTTAGTGTGCCTGGGCTGGTGTGGCTAGAAATACTTCTGTTACCTCGCTGCTACTTTTCTGCCAGGGATAAAACTCTTGAGGTGGCCAGACCCAGACAATCCTTACAAGGATTCCTGTTACAGTGCTACCATTTATACCACTTATTTCTCCTACTTTTGTGTGTTTTCTTTTTTAGTAAGGTTATTTTGTATTAAGAATACAAGTAATATTTGAAGTCCAAAGAGGAGTGATAAGAGTTGTACAAGAGGTGTTTCCTACTTGTACTATGATGTCAGTAGGTTCTAAGGACAGGGCTGCGATTGATTTGATGCTTTGATAGTTTTCTTAGAGGATCAGGGGTAGTGTAGGACCTAATTTCCTGTGCAGATGATTCTATCTCTGAATTATGCATTGTGCCATTTCTGAGCAAGAAATGTGGGCATAGCAGCTGTTGGTCTTGAGTTGGCCACACCCTCTTCATGTTTGTTTTAAGCTCAGGTAAATATAACCTCCTCATCTTCTTTCTCCTTCCTTCTGTGACTCCAGTATCCATTCAGGGCATATTATTCAATCATTAGGTGGTTTTTTTGGTTTGGTTTTTGTTTTTTTTTTTTTTGGGGGGGGATATTTTGAGACAGGATCTTGCTATGCAGTTCAGGCTGGCCTTGAACTCACTATGTAGCCCAGGATGTCCTCAAACATGCAGTGATCCTCCTCCGTCAGCCTCTGGAGTGCTGGATTATAGGTGTGCATCACGCTGCCCAGCTGGTTTTCTATTTAGGCTGGGTAATAAATTGATATTTCCAGGTGATAGTATGGGAGGTGGTATTGTAAAGGTTAGTGGATGCTACACTAAAAATGCTTTAGTAGCTGAGCAAGAGTAAGATGAGATTTAACAACTTCCAAAGAAATTTCAAATTGACATTTCAGGGGAAAATGGGCCCTTGTTGTAGTTGGAGTAAAAAAAGACGGTTCACAATATTCCAGAGATTAAAAATAGCTAATGTCAATGTACATCCTCAGATAAATCTTTTATTCTTGACATCATTTGAATATCAGAAAAATGTTGGAGGTGTATGTGTATGTTGTGGGTAGGCTTGCTGATTCTTAACTAAGTTCTGGTAAGTCTTTGTAATTCAGATGGTAAGTGAACAACCGTGAGTGTGGTTTGAAATATAGGAGACTTGGTGGTTTCTCAGGAAAGGAGGGATCTATAGCTCCCGAAGGCATGAAACCCCAGGGTATGTAGAGTCAACAGAACATGAATCTGCGTACCTTGGCAGGTGCTGGTTCCTTCTGCTTTTAAGTTGCATCTATCCAAAAAGGGAGTGTGGTAAGAACCCTTGGACCTTCACACGGGTTACTACATTCACCCAACTACCTGTGTTAAAAATCATTTTGAGTAGAATAATACCAGAGGAACATACTTAATACCTAATAATCTTTAGTAGTGCACTTGATAAATTTGCCAGTACATGTTTAGAACTTGTGGGAAGGCTAGGGTCACTCTGGTGTGCGGCTCCAGCAGTGTAGTTTCTCCCGTGCTGGGTCTGCCAGGGGTAAGTGGATGTGACATCTAGAGAGAGGAAAGCAAAACCCAAGAGACAGGCAAATCACCCACCCCATTCCCTTTTGAAATTTCAGTGAGAGAAATCTTTCCTGCTCTGCTTGGGAGTAGTGACAGAAAGAAGGGCTTTTACCTTAATCCTTTCCATTTTTAGCCATCTCTGCCGTTTTGTCCAGGGCTTCCTCCTAAGACCCTCCTCTGTCCTTTGGTGTTTTGAAAGGAAAAGTGAATGGTAAGACCTTCCACTTCCCGGTCATGTGTACACATAACGCGCATGCACACACAGACACGTAGACACGTATTTTCCTCCACTTCCTGGTTGCCTGTTTCATTGTAGCCCATGCTGTGGACTCGTGTATCCATACAGAATGCCCTGCACCTTTGTCCTATAATGTCAGTTGCCCACAGGTTTTGCTTTGAGATGTTTGTGAACAGTTCCTGTGTCCTGGGGAAGTGTTCCTCAGGCCCTGCAGACTAGTTTCTGGAGAGGCACAATGGGAGCTTCTCAGAGTGACGGCCCTGCACAAAGACAGGTACTGTGGAAGATGGTGAAGCTTATTAGGCGCCACTTGACACCTGCTGGCAGTGGTTCTCCATTTAGCAGCTACACTCCATTTGGATGGGTCATCCTGAAATGATCACAGCACTTACATGGAGCAGTCCTTGGGATCATCTGATATGGTTTTGGGGTTCTCTGACAGCCTCTTTTCCTGGGGTCCCTCAAGACAGTGTAGAATCAGGCTGTGGTCTCACTAGCAAAGCCATGCACCAGGTAGTGCTTTTCTCAGAATATCAATCCTTGTTCTTAAGACACCTTTTGTTTTTTAATGGCGAGGGAAAATGTGTAATTTGGGATTCCACAGTGCCTTGCATATAGTAGGCGCCCAATAAATAATTTGCTGAAGCAGACCAAGTTTCCCAAGTCCTCATCTGCAGTGACCAAGTTATCTTTCTCCTCTGAAGGACTTGGCAGTTGTGGCTAAAAACTAAGCAGTATCGTTATTGGTTTGAAACCATATATACGATTTGTATGAATTTCAGTATGTTGCCAAGACATGGTCTTTTTCTTACTGTATTTTCTGTAAATATTTCTGGCACTGAACTGTAAAGTAAAGGCGAGATGTAAATATGAAGGTGTACCTGTGACCCCTCGCCACCTGTGTTTGATCTTCATCAGTTAGGGAAGAAGGTCTAGAGGTCTGTTTGTATTTATCCTAATACTTTGTCCAGGAAAAAAAAAATGGAATATTGAATGTAATACATTTAGTCAATTAAATTTTAAGGAGATTCTTATCTAATAACTGTGTGGTTTTGGTTCTAGGTTGCGGATCTGACTTCTGCATGAGTGCTCTTAATTCCGTTTTCCTCAGGGGATAAGCCTTTATAATTTATTTATCTATTTTTAATTTTTTTTTTTATTTATGTGTGTGTGTGTGTGTATGTGGCCAGCTCAGCCCACCAGGGGGATTGAACCGTGGCCCCTGTGCTTTGCTAAGCTTGTTCTAAGTAGGTGCTTTAGACCACTGAGCCATCTTGAACTTTTACCACTCCAGCTGGGTGTTGTTGATTCCCAGATCACTTTGAGCCCTGGAGTTTTCTGCCAGAAGGACTAGGCAGTCCAGAAAGCAGGGAGACACACCAAAGAGCACCCTTGCCCCCACTGTGTCTGTGCAGTTGCCCACAGAGGACTCCTTGGGACCAGATGATACGCCTCCTCTGAGAGTCTTCCCTCCACCGGCTACAAATATATTGACCCTGAAACTTTTTTAAATTTTAATTTAAGCTCATTGGTACACTTCAGGTACACATGATGACCCCATCTGTTGTAGGGATTTTTTTTTTTTTTTTTTTGCGGAACCGGGGATTGAACTCAGGTTCTTGCACTTGCCAGGGAAGTGCTTATTCCACTGAGCCATCTCCCCGACCCCCTATTATAGGGAATTTTAATCTGTACATGATCTGTCTTGTTTCCTGTTTTTATTTTCCATTCCTATCCACTCTTTTCAAACCCCTCCTCTCTTCACAGTTCATTTTTTCTTTCCTTTCTGTCCCCTCACCCTTCCTTATTTCCTTTTTGTTAAAACAATTTCTTCCTATTTCACAGTACTTATTGTACATTTGTGCTCTTATTTGTATTTTCAGTTTCTCCAAAGAGAATGGGATATTTATGTATGTGTCTCTGATTTATGTCTCTTACAGTTATGGTCTAAAGGTCCATCCATTTAGCTATAACTGTCTCAATTTTATCTTATTTTATGGCTGAGTACTATGTTATATTTAAAAACCCACATGTTGTTTATCCATTAATTGGTTAATGGGCATTTGGATTGCTTCCAAGATTTAGCTATTACAAACTACCACTATAATCATGAGTGTGCATATGCTGCTGTGGTATGATGCTTTTAATTCTGGGAAGATATCCAGAAAGGGAACAGCTAGGTCAAATGGACCACATATTCCTGGTTTTTTTTTTTTTTTTTTTTT